AAATGAGGCTGACGCTCTGCAGTGGTCCTGGGCCTGGGGGTCAGCATCATGTTAGAAGAGCAGGCAGATGGTGAGGGTGGGGGGCACTGGGCAGAGGGATGGTGGGCATTGGACGGGGAGCCCCACGGAGCTTCTTGTTTTCTTCCTGTTCCTCAAGGACAGATGAATGGACCCTGCATTGCATAGTATCCAAGAGGCTCTGGGCTCCAAACCAGCCTCTCCCCTCTTAGCAGAATTACTATGGCTTCAAGCTGGGTGCGGTGGCACACGCCTGCAATCCCGGCACTTTGGGAGGCCGAGGTGGGCAGATCACTTGAGGTTAGGAGTCCGAGACCAGCCTGGCCAACATGGCGAAACCCCGTCTCTACTGAAAATACAAAAATTACCGGGCGTGGTGGCACATGCCTGTGATCCCAGCTACTCCGGAGGCTGAGGCAGGAGAATCTCTTGAACCCGGGAGGTGGAGGTTGCAGTGAGCTGAGATCGTGGCACCACTGCACTCCAACCTGGGCAATAAAGTGAGACTCCATCTCAAAAAGAGAATTACTATGGCTTCGGATTGGGTATGGGATGGACCAAGATCCTGTCCTCTCTCCCAAGCTGCAAATCACAGCTCTCTCTCCAAAAGCCCCAAGGGACAAGTCAGTCACCACTCCTATCCAGCAGGCTCCAGCATTTAGAGGCTGGTGCCCCTGGCCCATCTCCTGCTCCTCCTCTACTGCAGACAAGGATGTAGGGACCCCTGAGAAGCTGTGTGAGGGGACGGGCAGGTCCCACAGCCCAAAAGGCTCCTCCTTCTCTAGCTGCATCCACCCCACCCATCTGTCTCTGGCCCCCTCTCTATGGTTAGGTCAGGGCATTGACGCAGGAGTCAGGGTCCTGGGAGAGCAGAGGCTGGGGAAGGGGAGCAGCCAAGATAGAACGCACGTGCAGCCATGTGTGGACGTGAGTGTGCATGTGCACGTCCCAGGACTCTGGAATGGAGCAGAACCAGTTGCCAAGTGGGGCTGGGGGAGCCTGGACAGCAGGTTTGGGAAGGTTCAAGGTGAGCAGAGGATGCAGGGGAGCAGGGTCTGAGGGAATCAGGCCAGCCAGAAGCATACCAGCCTCTGTCTCCTGACCCCCAGCCATTTCCATATTCCAAAACCACTCCTTTTTTTTTTTTTTTTTTTTTTTTTTTGAAGACCGAGTCTCGCTCCTGTCGCCCGGGCTGGAGTGCAGTGCCGGATCTCAGCCCCCTGCAAGCTCCGCCTCCCAGGTTACGCCTATTCTCCTGCCTCCAGCCTCCCGAGACTGGGACTACAGGCGCCCGAACCTCGCCCGGCTAGTTTTTTGTTATTTTTTTAAGTAGAGACGGGGTTTCACGTGTTCGCCAGGATGGTCTCTGATCTCCTGACCTCGTTGATCCGCCCGTGCTCGGTCCTCCCCAAAGTGCGAGATTACAGGCTTGAGCCACGCACCGGCCGCCATTTTTTTTTTTTTTTTTTTTTTTTTGGACGGAGTTCGCGCTGGTCCCAGGCTGGAGTGCAGTGGCGCGTCT